GAGCAACTGGTTAACTTGAAACACTGATCTGGTAGTTGAACCAATCAGCAATCCTGCGGTTATCCAACAATCACATACCAGGACTCTATCGGGGGACTTTGCTGTTGTTGTGATGTGCTACTGAGTCATTTCCGACTTGTGGTGAACTTGAACCACCGATCTTGGGACCCAGCGCATTAACCCGTAGTGCCACACCGGGACTCCATAGGAGATTAGTAGAAGTTGAATGGAGATAAAAAATCCCTAAAAGTATATAAAATCATACAAACATGGTTTCTTTCTTGTGTGGAATCCAGGTAGCATAGTGGGTTAAGAGTTGGGCTGCTGAACAGTCTACCAGCCACTCTGATGAGGTTTTCTGCTCCCACAAAGATTTACAGCTCTCCTGCACCCACTTTTAGGGTCACTATGAGTTGGAACAGACTCTAAGGCACATATCCACCACCACCGTAGGACCTTCTGTTTTTGTTGTTGTTAAGCACTATCCAGTCGGTTCTGACTCAGAGTAACCCTGTGCAAGGCTTCCAAGGAGTGGCTGGTGAGTTTGGACCACCGACCTTGTGGTTCAAACCAACCTTACGGTCCAGTGCTTATCCTACAGTGCCACATAGGTAGGACTTCTCTGGGATAATATTTAGTAAAGTAGTCTATGGGTGTTACCACTCTGTGGCCTTCAGGATCCAGTTAGGTGCTTGAGGCCAGTATTAATTTATGAAATCTTAGTATCAACTGGGAAATATTGGAATATTAAAGTTGTAATGCAATGCTGTGTAAATACAGGTAATTGGCCACATGCACATAATTCCATTCCATCTTTGAATCTCGGCCATAGTGAATATAAAGGAATAAAAACAGACTCTGCCCAAATCCATGAAAATAATGTGGAAGGGAGAGGTAACAACAGACCAACAGAGTCAGTGAAATTTCGGTGGTGGTGGTGGTGGTGGTGGTGGTGATGGTGGTTATGTGCCGTGGAGTCAGTTCCGACTCATAGTGACCCTGAACAGGGTTTCTGAAGCTGTAAATCTTTACAGGAGCAGAAAGCCTCATCTTTCTTCTGCGGAACAGCTGGTAGTTTCGAATTGCTGACCTGATTTGTAACCACTATGCTGCAAAATGAATGGATAGATGGTGATGGTTTGGGAAGCCAGAGAAAGCAGAACTCTTGAGTTTTTGGGTCAAGAGCAAGCCAACCAGAAAGCTGCTCGTGAGTTTGGGGAAGGCTCAGATATTGTATACACCGGTTATCATGACCGTGCATTTATCGGGTACAATTGAAAAGAGGAGAGTTGGCAGAAAGCTTGTGTGAGAAACAGCTAGACGGCTAGGTGTGCTTCCTCAGCTGAAACAGCCAGGCGAGCTCCCCTGCTCACCACCCTTGCTGCCTAAAGGGGTTGAATCAGAAGCTGTGGGCTCCTGGATTGCAGGTATACTAAGGGCTGAGGTGAGATGGCACACTGAGATGCACAATGGGGTGATTGCCAGTTCTCTGGTAGCCAAGCTCATACTCCTCCTGGGAGATTTGGGAATTCCTCTCCAGGGAATTGCTTGTCCTACAAGAAATGAATTCGTGATACTGTTAAAGGAGTAGCTTCTGATGAAGACAACCTGGGCTACCATATAGCATTGATGCATTTGAGTTAGGTTGTTGAACGAGAACATTGTAATACCATGGACTGTCAGAAGAACAAACACATCTGTGTTGGAAGAAATACAGACAAAATGCTTCTTAGAAGCCAGATGGCAAGGCTTCATCTCTTGTACTTTGAATATGTGTTATCAGGAAGGACCAGTCCCTGGAGGAGGACATCATGCTTGGTAAAGTGGAGAGTCAGCGAAAAAGAGCAAGGCCCCCCCCCCAGGAGATGGACCAACACAGTGCTAACAGCAGTGGGCTCAAGCGTAACAACAGTTTTGAAGATGACGCAGGGCTGGACAGGATGTTGTTCTGTTGTGCATAGGGTCGCCGTGAGTCGGAAAGGATTCGACAGCTTCTAACAACAGCACCCATGTTTTTGAGAGTGATGCATATTGAATGCTCAGTCTCACATATGAAACTAGACTTCAAATCAGTGTTGCATGGAGTTACTTGCTGCTATGAACAGGCAGCCAGCAGAGAAAGACCCGATTCAGAGGCGGGGAACCCAGTGTGTAGACAGAGACCAACTCACACAGCATGGAGCTAGAAAGGGAAGACTTTTGGAAGAAGTAGACACTATAAGCTGCAAGACTGGGAGGGAAAACTGTTAAAAAGTTCCCAAGAAGAATCAGTAATGTAACATCGCTGTAAATAAAATACAGTGAGTATAAAATGTAGCAAGTATAAAAAGGCACTGTTGTTCTGTTCCATCATGTTGGTTCTGACTCATAGCAACCCTCTATAGGGTTCCTGTGAAGAGGCTGGTGGATTTGAACTGCTGAACTAGCGGTAAGCAGCCCAATGCATAAATGCACTGCACTAGCAGGGCGCCTTAAGAAGGTGCAACAAGAAATCAAAAATTTAAACATAGTATCAAGTTCATCTAAAACTACAAAGTAAGAAATATCAAAATCATTGTGTAGTTGAAAGGAGAAAAGGGTACTCGGAAATACTAGAAGAAACAGTTAACAGATTTGAAAGTAGATTTCCCCCAAGAAGTAAGAATAAAGTATGGGTGACTCAGGTTATAGACTTCTTCTTTCTTTTTGTAGTAGTAGTTTTTAATATTTCTGTAAATGCCATTGTTATATTTAAGAAATTGCTAAAAAAAAAAAAAACCGAGTTAAGAAATAATTACATATAAACAAGTTCATATACAGCCGGCCCTTGAGCAACAGAAGTTTGAACATCAAGGGAACTTTTTTCCTGCTGCTATTATAGTGAAAGATAAAGAAATGGAATGCATTGTGTGTGACAAATGGAGGGTCAGCAAAGAAGAGGAAGACCCCTAACCAGATAGTCTGACACGGTGGCAACAATGGGCTGAAACAACATTAGTGAGGATAGCACAGGGTTGGCTGGTGTTTCGTTGGGTTGGGCGTGGGGTGGATGTGAGTCAGAACCGACTCGATGGCACCTAACAGTAACAACAATGTAATGGTGAGATTGGGTGTTGGGAGTGTCCATGTGAAAGCCAGTATGACAGGGCTCCCGTCTGCAGGAACACTTGATCTCTGTTGTTCACAGCACCTGCTCCTTCAGGCAGCCACAGCAATAGGAAAGGGCTCTGTGGGGATGTGGGCCCAACCCTCACCTTACACATCGGTCAAGGGCCAGCAGACAGTCTATGAATTTGGGCTGAAGACTAATCAAATCAAAAGTGGGTAAGGAGCAAAATATCATCTTGATTTTTAAAGTATGAACTTCATATTCCAGGAAAATTATATTAATTAACAAAGCTACATTGAGGGAAAGTTTTCTATGAAAACCACAACAACACAGCAGTGGCGTAGATCACGGGAGAGCTAGTTATCAATGTGGCCATTACATGAGATTCGAATATCTAAGGAAGATGCTTGCCTTAGGGAAATAGTCTTGGTAAACCAAATCCTTTCTGTATTTGGGACCAAGAAGTAATCACAATTTAAGTTTATTATCATAAAGCACCTAACAGTTGTGTGAAGTTCGTAATACATCTTTCATTCAAGATAATAGTTACTGAGTGTTTATTACATGCCAAGCAAGCATTGCTCAAAATGATTTACATGGTATTGTTGTTGGGTGCAGTCGAGTTAGTTTCAACTCATAGTGACCGTACGTGCAACAGAACAAAACCCTGCCTAGTCCTGTGCCAGGCTCACAATTGTTGTGTTTGAGCCAATTGTTGTTGTCATTGTGTCAGTCCATCTGGTTGGGGGTCTTCCTCTTCTTCGTTGGCCTTCCATTTTACCAAGCGTGATGTCCTTTTCAGGGACCGGTCCCTCCTGATAACAAATCCAAATTATGAGAGATGAAGTCTTAACCATGTTGGCTTCTAAAGGGCATCCTGACTGTACTTCTTCCAGTACAGATTGGTCTTCTGGCAGTGGTGTTTTTAATATGCTTTTCCATCACCATAACTCAAATGCATCATTCTTCTGTGGTCTTCTTTGTTCATTGTCCAGCTTTCACATGCATGTGAGGCTATTGAAGATACCATGGCTTGGGTCAGGCACTCTTTAGTTCTCAAACTGACATCTTTGCTCTTGAACACCTTAAAGAAGTCTTGTGCAGCAGATTTGCCTAATGCAAAATGTCCTTTGGTTTCTTGACTACTGCTTCCCTGAATGTTGATGCTTGGATCTAAGCAAAATGCTTTCTTTACATTGAGATTTATGTATACTGACCATTTAATCCTCAGACCAGAACTATGGCAGTAGGTCATATTTTGATTCCCATCTTATAAATGAGGAAACTGAGATACACAGATATTAGGTAATTTTCCCAGGGCCACTCACTCAGCTGGCAACTTGATAGTCTAGACTTTAAACCTTAGTGCTGTGGATTCGGAGGCCATACCCTTTGTTTGTTATATAAGGAACTTGAGGCAACTAGGTTACATAAATTGTCCACATTCCCAGGGCTAGTTATTGAGGAAGAGAGGGTTGGATTTGTTGTCCTAGAACCATTTTGTGACACTGCATGCTGAAGAGCTCCTCTCAGTCCACTGCTAGACAATCCCAGGGTAAGCATTGAGCAGGTAGGAGAATTCAGGTACGCATATGACCAGTTCACCTGCCGTCATTCTCTCTGCCCTCCATCCTAGCCCAGCACTCCTTCTGTTTAATACTCACTGTTTGTTGATATGGTCAGGATAACACATTAGGAATTCTGAACAACTAACATCATTCACAATTTGTAAACTGTAGACCATAGCTGACGCGAGGAGTCTAAGGAAAGAGATGCTTTTCTGAATGTTGTTTTTGTAGTTTGTTACCCTTTGTTGCAGGCTGGCTCACAGTGTGATGCACGAACATTCACGGCTCATAAATCACTCTCAGAGATGAATGCTACAAGTTGTGGTTTGTTTGTTTTTTCCTAGTTCAACTTTGTGGGGAAACTTTTGGGTCCACGTGGCAATTCTCTGAAGCGTTTACAGGAAGAAACTTTGACAAAAATGTCCATCCTTGGAAAAGGTTCCATGCGGGACAAGGCAAAGGTAACTTTCATTCTAGACCATGGCTACTGTTCTCCTCAGGGTGTGTGATGGTGCACCTCAAGGCTGTCTTCACACATTGGGCTATGGCAGAGCCAACTAGCACCTCAAATGAAGTTATGTGAAAAGGGTACTCTGAGGGATGTGTTGGTGGTGGGCAGTTTCAGAATAGGATCTTGAGCCTGCATCTGAAACTGTTAGATTCGTTTAAAAAATGAAACTGTAACCCTTCCATGTCTGAGTCTTGTAGAAAGCAGGACCATATTACAACTGTTCTGAGGAGAGGTACACACCCCCCATGGTCATCATCACTGGGATTTACATACTTCCTGAGTGTGTGTGTCACGTAGCTGAAGTTACATGCATGTTTATTGATTTCCTCTTTTTGCCCTTAATTTGATAGTGTGTGTATGTTTTTAAATTATTAAAATAAATTTAAATATTATAATGATTGCTCAGTACTCTGGCAGCTAGTTGTTCTAATTGGATATAAGAAAATTCTCTGCCTTCTGGGTAACATAGCTTACCTTTACTGTAAATGTTGTGGCCCACTTTCTTAACTATGCCCCATTTGACGGGACCTGTCATATTTTATAATGTGCTGTCACTTGAATTTGTTCTTTTGCTTTGAAAGATTCCCATTACTGAGAACCAAGTTCATGCCCACTGGTCACTTAGCATGAAATGTTGAACAATGATGGTTATTTAAACAGAATCCAACCTGCTCACAAAAATGTCCATATAAATGATAGCCTTTGTAATAAAAATAGCCAGCCTTTGTCTATATTGAGCAACGACTGTGAGTTGGCACTGTGTGAAACTTTTTACGGGCATGTCACCCTGAAGCCCTGTGAGAGATGATAGAAAACCCGAAACATTTTCCTTCTTTAGACGTCACAAAAACAAGAGTTTCTGAGAACTTGAGCATATCCCCAGACGGATGAAGAGAAGTTCAATATACAATGTCATGAACTCAGCGGCTAAGACTCCGTGGTTACCACCCCAGCTGTGAGAGGCATAACCGTGCCGCCATCTCATGCATTGTGGGTGGGACCTCAAAAAGACTTCTCCCTAGGTGCTCCAGGTGATTTGAATGTGGTGGTAGGCTGAGACAGTGAGCATTACTGTCGCAAATGTGAACAATGCTTTGGCTCCCTGGACTCAGATATTCTGACAGTAGGAGAATTTGGAAACACATTAGTCAGTATATTAGAAAGTGGGGAGCATGGTGGACTCCATAGGATAGGCACTGGACTATGAGCCATAGGATTGGTGGGTCAAGTTCACCAGCTTCTCCACAGGAGAAAGATGACGCTCTCTGCTCCTGCAAAGATGTACAGCCTCGGGAACCTAGTACAGGGTTGCTGAAAATTGGAACCTACTCAGTGGCACTTAACAACAACAACAGGTTAGGGAGCGTTCAGTTATCTTGTAGGCAGGCCCATCCAACCACCTTAAGTTTTGCCACAAGCCACTCTAACATTCCGTCAAGCCCGGTATATGGGGTACTTGATACAAGTTGTGAAACCCAGGGTCAGGATTCCTGTGTCCCCTCTGTGTTGCTTGTTAGTAAAGGTGTCTCTTGATAAGCAGCAATGCTTTGTGGCATTGAGTGAGAGCGAGCAGAACGTCAGCGAAGGCTCCATAGCTGAGAGGAAGCAGAGAAACTAGCTGCTTCCCTAGACTGTCTGCCCTACTGTCCGCAGAGAAAGGGGGTCACGTCTGTCACTGCCAGGGGTCACGTGGCTCCTGAGTCCATAGAGTTTGGCACCGAGGGTCCATTGACAATAGCCCTGAGATGGTGGGAATGAGGCCAGTTGACATCCTTTATGATGGGTCCTCTTGGCTTCTGGTCAGACTGCCTGTTCAGGAACCACTTTCCTTACATGCTGGGGGCTCTTTGCCACACCATGTACCAGCTGCCCTCCAGTCCTCTGGACTCGGAGCCCTTAGGGGCATTCCTAGCTTGTTTGCCCTCAGTCCACAGGCAAGTGAATCAGTCTGGGGGCTCTGTAGGTGGAGGATCATTCATAGTCCATCCAAATGCCAAGACAGGCGCCCTGACAGTGCATTATGAGCTGAGCTGCTCACTGCATGGTTAGTAGTTTGAATCTACCAACCGCTGTGCAGGAGAGAGATGAGGTTTTCTGCTCCTGTAAAGGTTTACAGCCTTGGAAACGGTGTACAGGCGTCACTATGCATTGGAACCAACTCAGTTGCACACTACCACCACTGCCAAATGCCCAAGATCTGGGGAAAGGGCCAGAATTGTGGATTTACAGTCAATTGAACCACCTGTCAGTGATTTAGGACCAGAAGTCCGCTTGTCTCTAGACCGCATAGGCCTCACTGTGCCACCTGGTCCATCAGTTAAACCTTCAGAAGAACCTCACCAAAGATGAAGCATCATGTTTTCATCTTCTGTGGAATATACTAGGGTCCCATCTGCTCTATTGTTTGATCCTGGCTGCCTTAAAGTACAGATTCACAGTCCTGAGCCTTCTCTGGGAGTCTGTTTCTTGCAGTACCCGCTGGTAGTAGATACTCTGTCCGCCAGAGTTCAAGTTCACTCTCACTCTTTTAAGCAGATAGTTGAGAGGGCCAGTGTGCACATTCTGGGACACCTCTCTCGGAACGTACTCTCGGACAGTACTGTATAACTGTATTGCTAGAATCAGGCTCTGCCCTTGGGTTAGCAGCAGCATGCTCTAACCAGCATGCTCTAACCAGTGTGTTCTAACCAGTGTGCTTTAACCAGCATGCTCTAACCAGTGTGTTCTAACCAGTGTGCTCTAACCAGCGTTCTCTAACCAATGTGCTCTAACCAGCATGCTCTAACCAGTGTGTTCTAACCAGTGTGCTCTAACCAGCATGCTCTAACCAGTGTGCTCTAACCAGCATGCTCTAAACCAGCATGCTCTAACTACCGTGCTTTAACCAGCGTGCTCTAACCAGCGTGCTCCCTGCAGGGCTCCTCATATGCTGTATGCAAAGTTCTCTCTAAGCATGGAGAACACAGCACAGACAGGATGGTTTTTCTGCTCCTTGATAGTTACCTTTCAGGGGTGGGGGAGCACAGAAAATGGGCAGGTGAGAAAAGGAGGTGTTGGAGCTTGGTGGGAAATGGTTGGTGGCAACCTCACAGGAGTGCAGCGTAGCAAGTAGCTGGTGAGCGTGGGGTCTTGGCCAGTTGGAGACACAGGAGGAGGCCTGTGCAGCCACTGGGGTGCTTGAGCAAGTGGGGGAGGAGAATGCTTAGGAGCATTAGGACTCAGCAGGGGCAGACAGAGGGCCTCTTCACAGGCCAGGGTCCTCTAGGAGGCCATTGAGACAGCCCAAAGCTGTTGCTGTCGCATCCATTCTGGATCAGAGTTGAACTGTTTCCAAGGTTGCCATCTCTCTGGAAGCAGACGGCCACATCTCTCTCCCGTGGGTTGGAACACTTCCGTTAGCAGCGGAGCGCTTGACCACTGTGCCACCAGGGCTCTGTGAGGTGGCAGGGTCATGTTTCTATCTGTAACATCCCCTGTGGGGTTTCATTTGGTGCTAATATGAATCTTCCGTGATGGCGATGTAAGCCTAGGTAGTTAGATTTTCTTTCTCTTCTCTCACAATGACACATTTTGAACATGCTTTTTCTTCAGGAGGAAGAGTTGAGGAAAAGTGGAGAAGCCAAGTATTTCCACCTCAACGACGACCTCCACGTCCTCATAGAAGTCTTCGCCCCGCCAGCGGAAGCATACGCCCGGATGGGCCATGCTCTGGAAGAAATCAAGAAGTTCCTCATCCCTGTTAGTAAACATTTCTGGATACTCAGCTTGTACTTCCCAGGCCTGTCTTTACTGTCACCCCTGATACTTGGTATTGTTCACTGTAACTTGTGTAGGCCTTGGCCTTTACAGAGCTTCACGGGCATGATCTCAGAGGCCCCATACTGTCCCTGTGAATGGCTCTGAATTGTTCCTTCTTTCTAGACAAGGTGCTCCTTTTAGCAAGGGTAAGTAATCCTGCTCAGGTGCCACGGCTCCTAATTTGTAGAACTCAGTGCAATTCAGATTTTGGGCTGTCAAATCCTGACCTTTTTTGTGACATGAAAACATGACAAACCTCTAGTTTCCATGCTCCATGCACTGTGTTCTACCGCTCATCTTGTCTGTTTGTCACACTGTGGTGGCTTGCATGTTGCTGTGATACTGAAACCTATGCCAATGGTATTTTAAATACCAGCAAGGACCACCCATAGTGGACAGTCTTCAGCTGAGCTTCCAAACTAAGACAGACTAGGAAGAAGGAGAGGCAGACTCCTTCTGAATGTTTAGCCACTGGAAACTTAACGAATAGCAGAGGAACGTTGTCAGATGTATATTGCTGGAAAGCTAAACAATTAGGAATGGTGGTGGTGGTGGTGTGCCGTGGAGTCAGTGCCGACTCATAGCAACCCTGCGTAGGGTTTCCGAGGCTGTAAATCTGTACAGGAGCAGAAAGTTTCATCTTTCTCCCACAGAATTGCTGGTAGTTTCAAACTGCTGACCATGAAGTTAGCAGCCCAACTTGTAACCACTAAGCTACCAGAGCTCCTTAAGAATTATGAATAGCAAAAGAATATTGTAGGATATTCCAGAAGATGAGCCTCTCAGGTTAGAAGGCACTCAGAATATAACCGAGGAAATGCTACCTCCCCAAAGTAGAGTTGATTTTCATGACAGTAATGCAGTAATGGGTAGCATAGTGGTTACGAATCGGTCTGCTAATCTCACCGTCAACAGTTCGAAACTACCAGCTGTTCTGTGGGAGAAAAATGAGGCTTTCTGCTCCCGTAAAGATTTATAACCTCCGAAACCCTATGCAGGATTGCTATGAGTCGGAACCAACTCCACGGCACTTAACAACAACAACAACAATGGAGTAAAGCTTTTGGGACATTCATTTACTGAAGGGGCACAATACAAAATGAGGAGAAACATCTATAAACATCCATTAATAATCGGACCGTGGTTGTGCGAAGCATGGATGTAGGAAAATTAGAAGTTGTCAAAAATGAAATGGAATGCATAAATGTCAATATCCTAGATATTCGCCAGCTGAAATGAAATGGCACTGGCCATTTGGAATCTTACAATCCCATAATTTACTATGCTGGAAATGAAAGACTGAAGAGGAATGGCATCGCATTCATTATGAGAAAGAACATTTTAAGGTCTGTCTTGAAGTACAACACTGTCTGTTAATACCACTACTATTCAAATTTATGCCCCAAGTGCTAAAGTCAGTGATTATGAAATTGAAGAATTCTACCAACTTCAAGTCCTGGTGTGGCACTGTGGGTTAATGCGCTGGATTGAAAGGTCAGTTTGAGCTGCAAGTTTGGTGGTTCAAGCTCACCAGCTGCTCTTTGGAAACCCTATACAAGGTTGCTATGCATCAGAACTAACTCCGATGTCACATAACAACAACAACCAGCTTCTACAGTCTGAAATTGATCAAACATGCAATCAAGATGTATTGATAATTACTGGTGATTGGAATGTGACGATTGGAAACAAAGAGGAAGGAACAATAGTTGGAAAATGTAGCTTTGGTGATACAAATAATGCTGGAGATTGCATGATAGAATTTTTCAATAGTAATGACTTACTCATAGCAAATACTTTCTATAACAATACAAAAGGCAATTATACGCATGGACCTCACCAGATGGGTTGTGTAGAAATCAAATTGCCTACATCTGTGGGAAGAGACAGTGACATGCTTAATATCATCAGCCAAACCAAGGCCAAGGGCAGACTGTGGAACGGACCATTAATTGCTTTTTCAATTTCAAGTTGAATTTAAAGAAAATTTAAAATAGGCCATGAAGGTCAAAATATGATCTTGAACATATCCCACCTGAATTTAGAGACCCTCCCAAGAACCGATTTGATGCATTAGATACTAATGAACGATGACCAGAAGAGTTGTGGGATAAAATCAAGAACATCATACAGGAAGAACGCATAAGAGCATTAAAAACAGAAACGAAAGAAAAGATCAAAGTGGATGTTAGAAGAGACTGAAATTTGCTATCCAGCATAGAACTGTCCAAGCACTCTTAAGAAATGAGGAAGTGAAAGAGCTGAAAAGAACATTTCAGAGGACAACCCTAGAAGACAAAGTCAAATATTGTAACAAAATGTGCAAAGGCCTGGAGTTAGAAAACCAAAAGGGAAGAACATGCTCAATATTTCTCAAGCTAAAAGAATTCAAGAAAAAATTCAAGCCTTGACTTGAAATATTGAAGGTCTCCATGGTCAAAATATAGAATGATGCAGAAAGCATCAAAAGTAGATGGAGGCTACAAATAGACACTGTACTAGAAAGAAATGGTCAATGTTTAACCATATCAGGAGGTAGCATGTGACCAAGAGACAATGATACTGAAGGAAGAAATCCAACGTGCACTGCAGTTATTGGCAAAGAGCAAGGTTCCAAGCATTGATGGAATACAAATTGAAGTCTTTGAATCCAACTGATGCAGTTTCATGCATCTATGACAAGACATTCAGAAGACAGCTCCCTAGCCAACAGAGTCCTGGTGTGGCGCTGTGGGTTAATGTGCTGGACTGCAAAGTCGGTCTGAGCTTCCAGGTCAGCATTTCAAGCTCACCAGCTGCTCCTTAGAAACTATACACAGGGTTGCTATGGGTTGAAACTGACTTTATGGCATTTAACAACAACCAGGTCAACTGATAGGAAGAGTCTTATTTGTGTCCATTCCAAAGAGAGGCAATCCAATGGACTGCAAAAATGATAGGTCCAGTATCATTAACATCACACGCCAGTAAAAGTGTGTCATAGATAATTCAAAAACTGCTGCAACAGGGGCCAGAATAACAAAAAGAATGTTGAAAACAAGAACAAAATTAGAAGCATTCCAGCTGTACGTCTTCCAACACAGATTCATTTATTCTTCTGGCAATCCGGGGTCCTTCCAACATTCTTCTTCATTACCATAACTCAATGCATCAGTTCTACTATGATCTTCCTTATTCATTGTCCAGATTTCACATGCTTATGCGGCCACTGAAAATACAATGCCTAGGTCAGGCACACTTCAGTCCTCAAACTGATATCTTTGCTCTTCAGCACTTTAAAGAGGACTTGTGCAGCAGATTTGCTTAATGCAATGTATCCTTCGGTTTCTTGACTGCTAATTCCATGAGTGCTGATGCTAGATCCAAGCAAAAGGAAGTCTTTGACAACTTCAAATGTTCTCCATTTATAATGATGTTACTTATTGGTCCAGCAGTGAGGATTTTTGTTTGCTTTACATTGAGGTGCACTATATATGGAAGGTTTCGGTCTTTCATCTTCATCAGTAAGTATAGCAAGCAAGGTTGTATCATCTGCATATCACAGTTTGCTAATGAGTCTTCCTCTGATCCTAATGCCACATGCTTCATATAATTCATCTGAGAAGCTGAATTATTTGTTAGCATACAGATGGAACAAGTATGGTGAAAGAATACAACCCTGGCACACACCTTTCCTGATTTTAAACTATTCATTATCCTCTTGTTCTGTTTGAATGACTGCCTCTTAGTCTATGTACAACATTTTTTGGTTATTCTGGCCCCTTTGCATGGCCATTAAACTCAGTATCACTGCATCCATGTCTGCAGAAAGCCTCCTGAGATTGTGAGAAATACTACATTGAATCTGTGTATTGATTTGGGGATGATTATCATCTTAATATTGAGCCTCTCAGTCTGTGACCATGAAATGTCTCTCCGTTATTTAAAAACATTCTTTAATTTCCCTCCATATTGCTATCGTTTTCAGGGTTCCTGTCTTGCATTTGTTTTGTTAAACTGACTTGTAATATTGCACACTTTCTGATGACACTGTGAATGGAGTTATTTGTGTTTGTTTGTTTTTTAATTTCATTTTAAGATGGTTATTTGTTGTTGTTGTTAAGTGCCCTCAAGTCGGATCCGACTCACAATGACCCTGTATAGGGTTTCCAAGGACTTGCTGGTGGGTCTGAACTGATGATCTTGTGGTTACCATATAGCAAAACACCAGGACTCTAGATGGCTGTGTTTAGAAATAAAACTGATTTTTATATACTAATCTTATATCTTACAACATTATTGAATATGTTTATTAGTTCTAGTTTTTTAAAATGCTTTTTATGAAAGCATTAGAATTTCTGCACATAAGATTATGTCGTCTTCAAATGCAGGTTTACATCTTCCTTTTGAATCTGTATGCCTTTTGTTTTTGTTTTTTTTTTTTTGTTCTTACTGTTCTAGCCAGCACTTTCATTGCAATGTTGAAAGTCACAGTGAGAATGAACATTCTTGTCCACACGTTTAGGAGGAAAAGATTCAGTCTTCACCATTCAGTATGATATTAGCTGTAGACTTTCTTATTTATATTCTGCATCATGTTGAATAAGTTCCCTCTGTTACCATTTGTTGAGAATTTATATTATGACTTTTCTGTCTATGGAAATGATGGTGTGATTTTTCTTCTTGATTCTTTAATAATAGTATATCTAGTGTGATTAGTACTGCAATGTGAAATGAACCTTACTCTTTCCTAGGATGGGATTTTTTTGCCAGGGTGTGTAGTTTTCTCTCTGAATGATGTCAATGGTTAATGTCCTCGGATGCTCCCCGGAAGGTCTGAGGTAAAAGTCTACCTAGAAGAAAGACTTGGTGGTCTATTTCTGAAAAATCAACCACTGAAAACTCTGTGGAGCTACTCGGACACACATGGGGTCGCCCTAAATCAGAATTGACTCATGTTT